GGACGAAACCCTAGCTTGTAGCCATGGTTCGTCATTGCCTTCTCTGACTTTCCTTTCCAGAGAAGTTTCATCGACTTCTTGTTATTTCTTCTTCTTCTTGATCTTCTTCTGGTTTTTATTTGCTTTTTATGGTGTGTTTTGAACAGGGTATAGATCTGGTAGCCGGAGGGAAGAGCAAGAAAACTAAGCGCACTGCGCCTAAGTCAGGTGATATTTATCTGAAACTCCTGGTTAAGGTAAGGGTTTTATTTCGCGGCAAAATTTCTGGTTAAATCTAGGGTTTTATTTTGTAGAAATGCACTATTGATCTTTTCTGTCTACACTTGTAGAAATCGAGGCATTTTGTTGTTTAGATAATAAGTTTTCAGTGTGATTTGTGTTTTTAGAGGGAGAACTTCGAAATTCTTTTTTGTAAAATTAGGATTTTCCATTTTGGATATGCTTTCAATCCATGACCTTAGTCGCGTACTTTCATCATTTTCTAATTTTCTAATTATATATTATATACATATCTTGGTTGCCTGAGGCCACGCTTCATTTTTGTGGACTGGAATTTAGGTTTTACTTTTATGGAAATACTGTTTAACCATTGCGTTGATTTTTTTCTGGAATGTTCCTTTTTATTTGGATTTGTTTATTCTGTCAACATTTCTGCTTACTTTTCTTATGAATCACACTTTTCTTCTTTGAAACGTCACATTTCTTGATCCCTTATTGTCTGGAATTAGATTTTCAATTATATGATGATCATATAGGCATTAAAGATCTCGTGGAATTGGTGATACTAATAAGTTACTCTTTTTTTTTTAGAAGTTATAATTTATTCTTTTTATATCTATTTTCAGCTATACAGGTTTCTTGTTAGGCGGACCGGTAGTAAATTCAATGCTGTTATATTAAAGAGGCTTTTCATGAGCAAGATTAACAGGCCACCCATTTCGCTCTCTCGGCTGATTAAGTTCATGCAAGGGAAGGTGGGCTCCCTGTCGATAATAGCCTTCTCGTTTTTTCTATTATTTTTTGATAAATTTATTGTTTTGCAATCTTAGTTTTCTGAACTGTTCATTTGCATGCATATTTTACAATACTTATGTAGTGTTTTACAGAAATCTTATTGACTGTAATGGTTCTTTTTCGAGTATTTCATCCCTGGAAAACAGTGAATGATGGGGAAATAAAACTATGTTATATATGTCTAAACTAGACCTGAAAAGTACTGGCTTTCGTGAGAGTGTTTTAAAATGCGGGCGCATCAGGTGCTATGTGCCATCCAGTGTTCACTTTCCCGCATATGCGGTTTGAAGAGATGTGCCCACATCAGAGCTGCATCCCTCCGCATGCCGCATCGACCACATCAGGTCGCATAATCTGTTCGCCATATTTATTTTCGAATCTGTACTCCTCGGGCAGGGGTAATAAGACCATTTTGACCTTTGAAAATAGGGGAAAAGGTTTGGGGGTATTAAACCACCCAAATAACATTTTTCAGCCACATCCGTGGTTTCTATTGGATCGATTGAATAAAAAGTAATAATTTGGGTGAAATTTTATTTGCCGAAGTTCTCCGATTTGTAATACAAGATACTACAAACTTAAAGTTCATGAAGATTAAGGGTGTGTTTGACACATGGAGTTTTTGGGAGTGGAACAAACTCTACCATAAATCATGGAAGGCGATTCTACCATCACTTTTGATGGAAGGGAGGTCTTCCAAAATGAACTCATTTTAACACTAAAAAAGAGTAGCGTGGGAGGCCACCCTTCCACTTTACAGCTTCCACACAATAATATCAAACATGGAAGTGGGACATTTAACTCCCACTTATCAAACACGCCCTAAAAGTTACAAATCAAAGAAATTTTCCCAGTACTTTTCAAATAAAATTTGTAACTTTGAAGAGTTTCATGGACTAATACAGTAAAGTTACAAATTAATGAGTTAAATTTATTAAATTTATTGAAGTTTATAAAAAGTATGCAAATCAAGTCGAAGAACTTCATGGACTCATTTCAAGATTAAAGAGTTTATAAAATTTGTAACTTTAAAGTTTTTACTGCAAATTTGTCCTTATGGTTGTTGATTGTTGAAAGTTTTATGAAGCTAGTTTCAAATTTCTAGTTTCTATCAGGGATAGTGGATACAAAATCGTGGACAGCTAATACTTTTGGAGTTAATGAATAATCTAAATACCCATTATCATATATCACTTTCATATTTTTTACTATGCATTAACTTATTTTTTTAAAATTTTTAGAATTTTTTTATATTTATTGACTGCATCGCCGTGATGCACCCACATCCGTACCACATCGCCCCCCCCCCTCTCAACGCTTTTGGCTGCATCTCGCATTTTAAAACACTGTACTGCATTCGAAATGGTATTGTGTATTAGATGCAACACTTTGTTGTATGGGGCAAAGAGTCGGAGAAGATAACTGAGAAAGATTGGATGAATCTGAATAATTAGCGAGACAAATAAGAGAGGCATTTTTTTTTATAAACAAATCGTGAAGTACAAAATGGGCAAATTGGGATAGTCATTTCTTTGGAAACCTATTACTGGGTTACAGTCAATTGAAAAGCAGGAGGTAGCAAAAAGATGTCATGCTTAATGGGAGTTTGTCGAAGGATTTGGGAGCATTTCCTGGCTTTTCTTAAACTATTGGGTGCTAATGGTAACTCTGTGGGGTTTCTCCTCTATTGGATCCACTTGTGTTTTTCATATATCTGCAAAATCGTTTAGCTAAGAAGAACCAGAAGTGTAATTTAATTGACAACATGGCTAGTAGGTTTTACTGATAATTTGGGAAATTTGTTATATTTTATATTGCTCAAAAGAATCGATTGTGAGGATTTTTATTTTTATGGTATTTAGCAAAGGAAAGAATTAACAGATTGTAATGGAGAGAAGTATGTCAGAAGGGATTCATGATGGAAGTAAGGCATTATCATTGGACTGGAAAGCGATGAGTGATGCTAGGATCTGCATTTCAGTTATTAGCACAGCTAATAATGTAGATTTGACTTTATCTAGATGCTCATCCTTGAACCACTGATCATAATGAAGACAAGCAATTTGCTGGTTTCTTATGATGTCTTTTTTTTTTCTTGGGAAGATCATGCATATGTTGTGTTCTTTTCTCCTCGGGTGTCTTGAAAATCTTTTGTTGATTCACCAGTGTGGGAAAAAAAATTTGGTTTTCTTTAATTGGTTTTTAATGTGCTTATTTTTTGTTCTAATAGCCGTTCTTTATTTGTTTTTACTTGTAACATAACTATGTTAACCTGATACTTTTCATTAAAGCATAGATTCTCTTACTGTTTTTTATATTAATCACGAGTGAAGAGTTTTATTTGATTTTTGCAGGAAGGTAAGATTGGTGTCATTGTTGGTTGTGTCACTGATGATACCCGAGTATATGAAGTTCCTGCACTGAAGGTGGCCGCACTAAGGTTCACAGAGACTGCTAGAGCTAGAATTGTGAAAGCAGGGGGTGAATGCCTTACGTTTGATCAGCTTGCTCTCTTGGCTCCTCTTGGGCAGAATACAGTAAGTGAATCTTTGGATTTTTGTGATCTTTTCTATCTTGTACATTTACATGCATCCCATAGTTTAAGATTATATCACTACAGTTGAATGTGGGGTCTTTAAAATTGGATCGCCCTGTTGGAGTGGCCCTCCACAGGACTGATCTGGATATGTTGAATCGGCAATCCAATGGGAAATAAAAATGAAAGGAAAAAAAGGGGAAGTTGCATAATTTGTAGGAAATTTTTTAGATCATCTGGATTTGAAATCATAAGAAAAACATATAAAACAAGGTGAATTTGAGAGATTATGGCTGATCTCCAATTGCCACTTAACATTCATCTACTGAATCCATTCCGGATTGGCAATTGCCAATCCAAATTGGCGATGTTGAATGTAACATATTGCCTCTTTTATAATATATAGTATTTTAGTAGAGGCTATGAAATCTTGCATTATGATTTTTCTAATTTCACCCAACTAGTAGTGTTGGAATGGCTAAAAGAGATTTTCCATTACGCCCTTGCATGGAATGAGAAGAGCATTTTCTGTGGTTATTTGTTGCAAAGCAAAGTAGATTTAGTCAAAATCTGATGACTCCTACAATGCTCACCTGCAAACTTCAAGCCTTATGCAGAAATTTCACAGCAAATAGGAGCCTGCTTAGAAATTTAATTTTTAGTGATGACTTTATCATATTTTCTGTCCACAAAGTAGTGCTCAAGCAAAAAATGAGTCCCACCAATAACATTGTACTTTGAAACTTCCGACTCGCTAAATGGATCTCATTTCGTGGTACTCTGTTTTGCTATGACTTGTGCATCCTTAATGTTACAATCACAATTTTATTCCCTTGCATTAATATTATACAAATCATTTGACTGGTAATATAGTAGGAGCGCGCACATGCTGTAATTGAACTTACTTTGTGGTGCCCTTCTTGCATCTCTCTCTCTCTCTCTCCTCTCTCTCTCTCTCTCTCTCTCTCTCTCTCTCTCTCTCTCTCTCTCTCTCTCTCTCTCTCTCTCTCTCTCTCTCTCTCTCTCTCTCTCTCTCTCTCTCTCTCTCTCAATGCTTAGAAAGCTTAAGGAAAGAATAAATGAGGGGGTGTGCCCCTCTCTAGAGTCTTTTTCCCTTTCTCAAGTGTGTGAAGAATACAAGGGTTAATGCTTTATATATTGGTTCAAAGTGTGGCAGCTTTTTGTGATTAAATTTGAGCTATAGATATAGATCACTGAAAGGTTGAAAGAAGGCTTAGATCCTAGGCATACAACTCATTCAGTAATTATCATAGGAATGGTTATAATTTATCACACCTTTATCCCCTCAAAGCCTCGTTTCCAAATTACCCTTTAATTAAATTGTATCTTAATTTGAATTTTAAAAATCCTATGTGTGATGTCCAATCTTCATCATCAATTCTCAAGATCAATGGTGAGATAGAGAAAAAGGAAGAGATGCCCTATGTGGGGCATCCACACCATAGTTAGCAAATCTTTGTTTCAAACACGATTTTTTCAAAGAACTTTGATTTTTTAAAATCCGTTAAGAACTCCACGTTTTTTAAAAGAACTTAAAAATCATAATTTTTAATGGAACCAAAATAACTCCGTATTTTATATTTTTTCAAAAAATATTATTAAAAACCCTTCTTCCCTATAATTCTATCTCTTCATTTATTAATATCTTTGAATTTAGATTTAGAGATAAGCGCATTAAAAGTGAATGTAAATTTAGAATCTTGATTTAACTAAATTTCCATCAAAATTTCCTCCAATATGTTCTGTTAATAAAAAGGGTAAAATATATTCCCTAAAAAATAATCTTTTATCCTCTAAACACCAAGCATAATTATAAAGAGTAAGAGAGGGATTTAGTGAAAACTAAATATTTCAGTAACTAGGAATTCATAGTGAGCATTGAATATTTGGATTTTCTTAAGAATTTTGTTGCTTTCTTTCTACATGAAGAAGTTTGATTGATTTTACCTTTTTTTTTTTTAATTAAAGTATACAACATAATAATTTGGATGGACCACTATCTTACATTTTTGGTTTTTGTGCTTTAATTAACTGCAATCCTATATTTTTCTTCCAACGATAATCCCATACCTTGGGACAGTTGCTGTTTTGTATAGTTCTTGTATTTAATATTGTTTTTGTTGTCGTTGATCGTATGCTCCTAATAACTCGATGTTTAACGTCATGACAACAAAGTAATCATTGTTGTTGTATTTATTGAAAGTTTAGACGAAAAATAATCCAAGTACGACTCTTGTGATATTAGGTAGGGACATTAAAATTATAGTTCAATGATTTTAATGTATTCATATAATAACTGCCACTCATAATCCTATATTTTGTTGTGGTTATATGTTGGAGTTATGCTTACAAGAGTATGTAAAACTATGACTATAGTGATATGATAACTCCAGTGGGAATACGGTCTAGAGGGATCAAAGGATTATGGTCCAGAAGGACTGAAGTAGACAATATTGATTCGGAGACTCAAACTAGGTTTGACGAGCTAGGCTAGTTGAGTTCTAAAGGGCCTACGATACCTGAGCAGAGTATAACCGAGAACGGTTAACATGGTTGCCCATTGATGATGTCGAAGAGATGCCCAAGGCAGTTTACCAAGGGATTCTGTGACCTTTGTGTGCGATTGGTAGGCCTGAAGGGACGATGACCAAATATTCATAATAACTATCACACGACATGTACATATGATAACCGTATCGGGAAGTGAACACCATTGATAATGTTGCATGTACGTATGCATGATATAGCCCTCATGCACCAATTGCGAAGTGTACACATGTCTGTGTGACCTAGGCTTGTCTATAGGGGGAACTTGTAATCTATAGACTGAGATTATGTTCACATCACTTATTGGCTGACGTTAGTAGTCCTATCATGAACCATTGTGATGGACTGTGGGTTATGAGTTCTACTGGGTCAGTTTAGTAAAGTGAGTTTGAGACATCGTTACCAGTAGAGATAACGTGCTTCAGTATTTTCCTATTTTTCTTAACGAAGTGGGATCCGATTCCCATCAAATTAATTTAGAAATGATCAATTTCATATTAAATACTTTTTAAAATATTAAAATAAATTTTTAGAAGTCTCGAAATATTTTATTCTATCAAAATTGATTTTCAAATAAACTTGAATTGCATTTTCACGCATTCAAATATATAAAGAGAAAATAAATATACTAATTGTTTTCTAAATTTTTTTTTTATGAATCTTAAAATAAGTTCATTACTATGGGAGGCCCATAATACTTTAGGGCCCACCATTTTGGCCCACCTTGATATGAGGTGTAGGGCCCAATTATACAAGAAAAGAGTCCGACACCCACTTTTCTCACCTTCTAATTTTGGGGCTTGAGCCACAAGTCAAGCAAATTGAATAGCAACATAAATAAGAATGTTTTGTTAGAAGGGCCTAATTGATTTCAAAAGGGAATGAGTAGATATTGATTAAAAATATAAAGAAAGACATGTCATATTTGCTCTACACTTAACATTTGATGGGAATAGGTTAAAGAAGCTGAGGGATGAGGTTTTAACGCCTTCCATTAGATTATGATGGATGATTTATGGATTGTATGACTAAGATCTCTCACTCTACAAGTCACCTTTGATCAATGGTCTAGATGGAATATCATAAAGATGCCAAACCCTAAGAAACCCTAACCCTAGCTTCACATCTATATAAGCATCTTTATGCGGGGTCTTCAAACATACCCTAGACTTGAGTTCTCTATCTCTCTCTACCTCAACTCTTCTCTCTCATAGAAAAGAAAAGAAAATGTGGGCCACGACCTCAGGGTTTTAAAACACATGAAAGGGGGGCATGGCCTTTATAGATAGAATAGAAAGGTAATACGATGCTCTATGTACATGCTCTCCTAGATTGAGTAAACGGTTTGGTATTGCTTCCCATTTGTTAAGATTCAAGAAAGACCTAAATCCCGTACGCCATAGGTGGAGGAGACCCGGTGCGGAGTGTACTTTTTGAGTAACCTGAGACCAGGTATTCGGTAATTTAAATAGCTATATGATTCTTGATTCTTCACGCACTATACTTTTCATTGGTGATCTAGCATAGTATGTATAGTTTAAAATTTTCATTACATGCTTGAGGTTTTGATTCCCTTTCTTTGAGCCAAATTTGAAATATCGCCGATTCTCTAACTTGACTAAGTTTGGTGATCTGTATTTTTAACTCGAATTTTTGCTTTCGACTTTTAGAACAAAACTAATTTATTACTGATATTTTGGTTTGCCAATATATTATTATTCGCGGACTTGCCAAACTATGGTCCACACACTTGGTGTCATATTTCACATACTTGTTGCCATAACTCGTACACTTTTGCCATGACATATCAGTGCCTTATAAAATTCTTTTAGATCTAAAATATTATTGGATAGAAACACAGAATAAGGAAAATATTTAAATCCCATAGGGTAGTGGAGACCTACACACATGCCAAACTCTACAATTCACACTTAGACATAACATAGATATGTACCTCAACCAAACACCAATTTAGATACGCCACCCTATGCTTCTCCTTATCACACCTACTTCATCCATGTGGATTGATGTGGCAGCGATGTGGCACCCATTCGTCATTTCGGTGCCAGATGATCCACATATGTGGTAGTCTTTCTTTGGTACTATGGCAAACAAATTACAAAAAAAATTCATTCTTCTCTTAGAAAAATTTCCAAAATTATTAAAAGTACTTTTTAATCATTTTCTATCAAATCATAATAGTTTAAAATCTTAGAAAAATACTTAGAGAGAAATTAAAATCCTTTAGGAATAAAATTGGGCACTAAGACACTCCACTTGGTTATATACATAATCCTAAGCCACTTTCTTAAGTTAACCGAATAGATTCATATTCCACTGACTTCGGCAAAGGTCTACGCTTGGCTTATGAAAGTTGACTTAATAAGCCAAGCCGATTTAATAGATGGCCATATTCCCCCAATTTATGGTAGATTGCAGACGCACCCCTAAGAATTAGTGCTCTTGTGGATGTGGGGGTCCTCTCTCTTAGCATATGTAATTCTAGATGGCCACCCTTCTTTGGTACTATGCCCAAAACTATTTTTAAAAAAATCTCATTCTTCTCTTAGAAAAATTTCCAAAATTTCTCTATGAAATCAACATAGTTTGGAATCCTAGAAAAATATTTAGAGAGAAATTAGAATCCTTTAGGAATAAAATTGGGCGCTAGGGCATTCCACTTGGCTAGAGGTAAAATCCTAATCCATTTTTTGAAGCTAACCCAACAAGACCCATGTTCCACTGACTTTGGCAGGAGTCCATGCTTGGCTTATGAAAGTTGACCTAATAGATGGCCATATCCCTGATTTATGGTAGACTGCAGATGCATCCCTATAAATTAGCACTCTTGTGCATGTGGGGGTCCTCTCTCTTAGTATATGTGCTTAACTCTAACTGGTGGACCATACCTTGAGAAGTGGCTTCCCATTTGTGATTGTATACACATATGTCATGAGAAGGCTCGAAATTAGGGATTTTGCCTTATATCATCTTAAAGCCTAGTCTTCTCATATAGGTCTTATTCGAGAAGATTAGAGTTATTCTTACACGGGATTTTGTATCATTTTGCATTACCAAATCTTACACTCTTACCCTCGTTCAGACAATCATAAGATACACTCATACCGACTCTAACTAAAGGAAATCCTCAAACCTGATAGCTTTGAATAAGGCCCTTCATACAAACCTCTTGATACGGGTTTTTTGACTCTCCAGACCCCAATTTGTTGCGGGCTCTCCAACCGGACTTCATTTTTTATTTCCTCTTAGCTTCTAATATAGCTGAATTGCTTTACAATAGGGTTCTAACTTACCCATATGATCTTTTAAACAGTATAGAGTTTATCGTTCTTACTCGGGACCTGCCACCGATCAAAAGTCAGGCCTTACCGTGGTTTAGGAAGTTTGTGCGATGAACTACCGTGGTGAAGATATGGATGCTCACCAAATGATATCCATTATTTTTTAGAATTTGTTTGTTAGGCCATTTGAAACCTGAGAATGCTTCAAATGAAGTTTCACACTTACAAGAGCAAAAAATTGGGGTTTTGATTTTTGGCAACTAGTTCCTCTTTGTATGACCCTACTTAACCAATGGTGAATAGATTCAATCTTCATATGGATTATGTACAATCAAACTATGTATCGTTATTATAGGGAGGTCACAATCACTCATACTTATTAGATGTCAAATTGGATGGTTTGAAAGTCAAAATTTTTATTTTTTATTTTTAATTTTGAGTCTTTTCAATGATACTATTACAATCACGCAATTTGAAACCTAAGTAACAAAAATGATTGTGACCTCCTTGAACAGAAAATAAATAGTCTCTTTGTATGCTTTTCTGGTTTCATATGTCAACCAATTGTTATGGTAGTGGATGAGTTTGAGACCCATTTTTATCCTTATACCGAGTCTTAGTCCGATTTAAACTTCCTTTGGCTCTCTACAAATAAATCAATGAAGGAAAGAAGAAAAAGGGCGAAGAGCTAAATACATGATAGGCCCAGCCCAGATAATTAAACGCTCTTCTAATAGAAAACACTACTTTAAATCATCAATCAACCAAAAGGAAAGCCTAAAAGATTACCATATTCATATTTTCTTTCCTTTTTTAAAAACTCCTCGTTTTTACTGCCCTCACTTTCTTCTTTCCACACTTCCTTCCCTTTATGTTTATTCCACACCCTTTTCTTTTATGTACACGACTTTTATTGCAACTTTTCCTTTGGCTTTATGTATCCATCCCCTTTGTTTTTTTCCCTTGCTCCGCTTTTTTTCTTTTTTTTCTTTCTCTTTTTTTAATTTTTTAATTTTTTATTTTTTTCAATCTCTCTCTCATATATGCACATATTGTATTAATGTTGACGTGTTTTCGACCAAAACATGACCCCACTCTAAAATGTTTTTGGCTTTTCATAGTTAACTTTGTTTACCTCTATATGGGGATTCATTGATCAATCGACCGCCCCTCATGCCCTCTTCCACACAGTTGGTTGGTTTGTGATAAAAGGAAAATAAAAAAGGAAAAGTATCGCATGGGGATGGGTGGAAGGGTGACGTTCCAACGGTTGAGATTTCACACAGATATTTCTAAGAGCGAATCTATTTCCGTTGATGTAAATTCTCTCATTTAATATGTTCCAATCTTTGAATAATATTACTGGAATTTGTCAAAAAAAAAAATAGTTTCATCTTTTATTTTATTTTATTTAAATAATTTATTATTTGAATTTTGGAATGTAGGGCTTTTCTATAAAAATAAGTAAATAAAAATGATTAACAACATTTTAAATAATAAAATAACTGAAGTACCCATAAATTTATTTTGATCAATATTTTTTATTATATTTATTCAATTCTATTATAGAAATGAAGGTAGACCCCAATTTTTGGATTGATATCATTTTTTAAAAAAAACAAAAAATGAAATATGAACCATTAAAAACTGCTTGTACGCCTTTGAAACGTCGAGGGACCCAATACCAACACATAAATAAAAGGGAGATTCTCACTCACACGTGTGGGCAAAAGATAGCAGGGGCAGAGGGAGCGGTGGAGATGATGTAGTTGCTCCACACCACTTCTCCTATTTTTAAATGGACTAGGAGGAACCTTCCATTCCATTGAGATTCTGATTTTTCACAAGAAGATATTCAAGAGACAAAAGAATTTCTCAAATTTCCTTTCATTTCACTATATTTTAAAGGAAAAAGTTCATATAAGGTTGCAACCTTATAATGTAAAAATAAGGTGCACATCAAAAACCCATAAGAAAAAACTATTTTGATGTTGAAAAACCCTTTAATTGATTATTTGGACATCGAGATATATATATATATAGAAAAAAAAAAAAGAAATATTTCAAGTTTAAAAAATAGTGCATCTTGCAATATTTTATCTGGACCATCCATTTTCAAGATTTTCATGCGTTTGTAGATCCACTTGATTTGAACTATTTTTTGAGTTTAAAATTTTATAATTAGAGATGAAAATGGATTCTCATGTCACTTTAAAAAAAATTTATACTAAAATTACATCTTATGATAAAATTTTGGAAAATTTGGAAGTGCACCTTAATTTGATTGTTTAAGGTTGCAACCTTATGTAAACCACACCCTTTTCTAAAACCAACCTACTCATAAAAAAACTAGCATACACAAGATACATAGGCGAGAGTGAATTAGCAATCCTTAAACAGTAAAATATCTTAATAACAAAATTGAGCTGCACACCATTGGATTTCCCATTTTTGTTGTTTTTGTCGTGTAAGAATTTTACAGTGCTGGAATTTCAGCATCTCTTGACATAAACAACACACCCAATTCCACTGTACTAAGAGGAAAAAAACTGTTAATCTCTCTCTCTCTCTCTCTCTCTCTTTCCTATAATACATAGTCTTCTGATTTTTCATCAACCATAAGTTGCTTCTCTCTCACCCTTTGTCTGAGCGGCCATGGCGGCCTCAAATTCTCGAAGAGAGACCGAGGAAGGAAATGCAAGAACTTCAGGACCTTCCCACCTCTTTATACCTGTTCCTGAACCATCCCACCCTATGTGTGCGACGTGCTTCACATCGGTAGGGAACCCAATTTCCATCTCTACCAATTCCTCTTCTTTATACACTGTGACAGCAAGAAACACACACCAATTATTCTCATGATTCATCAAAAGCCAAATAACAGAAAACGAGAGCAGTTATGCATTTTGAATGTTTAGTATGTAGGAGGAAGAAAAAGAAAAAACATTCGTCGAATTATGCTTTGTAGCCCCATCATTAACTTACTGAAGATTTGTGTAAGGCTCTTGAATCTCTTCACTAGACGGTGTAAGCCGGAGGAAATCAAAGGCTTCGAAATAGGTGGCCGCGAGAACGGATTCTTCATTTCTGAAAACAGAAACTCGAAAACATTGTATCGCGAGAGCGAGAGCGAGAGAGAGAGAAAGAGAGAGAGCACTGACCTGATGATGGAAGAGGTGGTGTTTGGGGTTTATTGGTGGGGGACTTGGTTAGGGTGGTGTCCTTAACAGCAGTGCTGGAGGGAGAGGCACAGCCTATGGAGAAGGGTAGAATGACAAGCCTCTCCATGAATTCTTTCATCTTTTAATAGAAGATAGAGGGAAAATATGAGTAAAGGGGTTGGGGGAAGGATTAAAAAGAAATGCAAGAATTTTATAGAATGTGGGTCTTGAGTATGGCTTGATTGGCAAGGTAGAATGATTATAACAGTGGGGTTTAGTTTGTGGAGTGGTTATGAACCTAATTTGCTGATATCATGTCCATTTTGTAGCTACATATGAGCCCACAAACCCTATGGGTTTGTTTGCTTATCATTTTTTACTGTTTCTTTTCGTTTTTCTTTGTTTTTTCTTTTGTTTTCTTTTGCTTGTGGAGCAAGAAGGTCTATGCCAAATGCACTCTGTTTTTTTTGGGGTCTTTTTCCTTTTCATGGTGGGTCTATTTTCCTTTTTCACTTTGTCTTGGGTTCGACTCTTTCTAGAATATGAATATGAGTAAAGTGCAAGGGATTTAACTGATGGAGATGTAAATCTAAGCTAGTAGATAGAAAGGTGTTACTTCATTTCTAAGCCTGTGTTTTGGTAATTGGTGAACCAGAGAATCTATTTTCTCAAACATGAGTAGGGTTCATTTTTATTTTCCTTAATCTTGTTTTAATAAATTTGTAGGGGAATCGTTTTTTCTTCTCTATAATCTCATGACAAACACTCTTTCATGGACTAAAACATCTAAAATGCTCCTCCTATATTCTTTGAAGCTTGGTCACTCTCTAAAGTCGAAAGATTATGAGCATTTCCTTGGTTTACCATTTCAGTAAATGTTAATCTAAAAGTATCTTCAATTTAGTGACAAACCACAAAAAAAAATAAAAATTGAAGAATTATTATGTATGTGTCTGAAAAAATACAATATAAGATTGAACAAAGACGGTCTAATTTTTAAGATCTAAAATCCAAATTAAACACTCATTTGGGGATTTTTAAATGGATCTCAAAATTTAAGATCCAAAAAAAACCATTCAAGAGAGTTTCACCGGATAGTGCAAGTATGAAGCAATGTGCAGAAACTCGGGCGAACCAACTCTGACTCGCCTGCTACCCTGGAGAGAGGCGAGTCAAAGTAGTCTCGAGTTGGATGGTCCAACTTGGGGATCTTACAAAAATTCAAAACACATTTATAAATATCCAAAAAATAATAAATTTATTTGTAATGTATATTCTTTTTAATGTTTTCTATCATTTCGGCAGAGATTGGAAAGTGTATGAATTTTCCCTTTTTTGGGTTATTTCTATAATATCCCTTGGGTTATTTTTAAAATATCCCTCTCCCCAAGCACATTAATTTTTTCGAAATGCATTTTTTCACTGTTTTTTTTAACATCATTGTGTTTTGTTTAATTTACTTTTAAATATATTTTTCTTATTTTTGGGGGGGTTTTATGTGTACTTTTTTATCTGTTTAATACTTTTTGGCTTGCCCGGACTCGGTCCAACTTGGGCTGAGTAACCCAGAGCCCCAGTTACTCGGTTCAGGCATAGGCCGAGTCCCATCCCCGAGCCATGGTTTCAACATTCGTATGGAGTATGCTCCCAGAGGAGCAGGTGCTCTTAGATGGAACTGGGGCGAGTTGGGCATTTTTGTAAACAGGAATGGGCATTTTATCGATGTGAGAAATGTGTATTGAAGGACCACATCACATCCTTCTTTGAGGGTTGACACTCTGATGCTTCTTGGAAGTTTTAATAATGGAAGACAAACATCTGCTCGTCTTCTTTTATGATATTTTTTTGTCTTCCATGTACATATTAGACTACACGTGCTGCGACGCATGTGGGACCCATTTGTTTCGACCAATGGAAGAGATTTCTCTTGCACATGGATAAGTAAATGCAAGTTTGTATTGGTGCAATCATGAACTGTTCATCACTGGAACTGCAATCCATAGCATGAAGTCTATGCATGTGTTGCTTTCCACTCAAAAGAAGTAAGGACGCAAGTGTTGCTTAGTGTTAGGGCCCTGTTTTAATGCTTTCTGCCAAGACCAATGGCCCCATCACCTCCATTATTACCTAGGCTTGTGTCTTGAGCTTACTACCTTTTGGATTTCATGTCTCTTGAGCAACTATGAGAATGGTAAATTACATTTGGGTTGAAGTCCTTAAACTCAATTTAGAAGGTTCTGCAATGCAATATCAGAAACAGATCCAAACTGACAAAGGAATAGGATCATTAAGAATATTGGTAAAGTTCTACTTCTCAGGATCCAAAGAACCAACAGTGAGAGGGAATGATTTGTGAGCATAAAATTGGAGATCAGGACGAATTAAATTAGGCGTCAAAGAAATATTAATTTACCAAGATGTGCATAGACAAATAAGTTTAGGAAGCCCATTATTTAAAATGCTTTATAGAAGGCTTGGAATGGTTCAAAGTGTGGGAATAAAAAAAAAGGTTGTGCTCTTAAGGAAAGAGAGTGAAAAGAGTTTCTTTTACCCCACTTCCAAGTAACAATCTCAGGCTCATGGAAGGAGAGTGCAAAAAGAGTTTTTCTTGCTCCACTTCCAAGTTACAATTTCATTGGATAGTTAACATGGCAACTCCTGAATGGTTGAAAGCTTTGCATATCACCTACGTTCCAAACATGGCAATATCCAAGTCAATGCTTGAAAAGGATGTAAGTGTGGGTTACAGAGGTTGATATCACAATCTTTAGTGAATGCTGACTTCTGTAATTAGAAAGTCATTTGTTTCATATTGGAATGTTATACCATACAAAAATTTGAATACATGGTTCACTATGGGGGCATCCGCAATAGGTTTCCGATGGTGGATGATAAAGATTAACTATACTAGGATATTCACCACAGTGTGGTTAATCTCCGCTGTTCATCATCAGGAACAGAAGGTTCATGTGGTTTCCCAAGATCATACACCAGCAGTATTGTGGCATACTTTCTTGTAGTCCTCTTATTTCTTTTACTATTGAATATTGTTTTAAAACTTGGAACCAGGCAAGCCGGCTCCTAGTTAGCATGGACAGTTACTGGTTAGATTAGCCAAGAACCAAAATCATTGTTAAATGAATGTTTGGGTAGACTAGGAGAACACACAGGTTGACAGCCAATACTGCAACCTAAGCTGGTGTCATCAGGAACAAGGAAGGTACCAATTCCAAATGACCCGAGCAAGTCCGAGTCAGGGTTTCTAAGTGTTTAAACACGGCAATGAACAATTTCATTTCCCAATGTATTTCTTTCCTAGCATAAATGTATTGAGCCTATGGTTTGACTAAGCAAGTTTGCAAAATTTAAAATCACCCTGAATCAGTAAAAACTCTCAATTTCGACCTAAAGAGGAACAGAAGGTGTACCAAGCATCATACACCAATACTCCATGGCGTACTTTCCAATAAACATTTATTACTTTTAGTAATGAATAGTGTCTTAAAACCGGAATTGGGCAAGTCCGGGTCTAAGTTAGCAAGGCGATTCCCGAGGTCGTCTGGTCAAGACTTGGACCAGAATCATTGTTTTATGAAGATTTAGATAGACTTGGTAAGACACGGGTGGATTTGGTCACTATTCGGGCAAACCCAAGCCCGTGTCACTAGGAACAAGGAAGGTACTGATTCCAAATGACTCAGGCAAGTCCGAGTCAGAGTCACTGAGTGTTTAAACACACTAATGAACAATTTCACTTCACAATTTATTTCTTTTCTTGCATACATGTACTGAGTCTGTAGTGTGACTAAGGTAGTCTGCATTTAAAATCACCCTGAATCATTAAAAACCCTAAATTCCGAGCTTTGGGAGACTTGTGTATTATCCTAAGAAACTTGTTATGCATGTCGTCTTCACGTTCATTATTAATATAAAAGATCTCATAGCTTGCTTTCTAGCATCTAGAAGAAATGTTTTTGATGGAGGAATTAAAAAGCATACTGTCTCAGAGAATCCTATCAAAGTTCCGTAGGATCTTAAAAGAGGTTATTAGGCATTAAAAGTTTTCTGGATGATTTATGCAGTACACGGGTCAGGTAATTTCTTTAGGATGTCGACCTATTAATGGGCATCGAAGGAGAAAGTCATGACAAATACAAGTTCTATAGAAGGGACTAGAGAAGTGGGTTTTCTAGAAATTTATTAGCGTTGATGAGTCGGCTTGTTTTTGGAAACCTAGTTTTCTCCTTTAGGGCAGGAGACTTTAGCATTTACCATCAAAATTAGAACATAGCTTTACCAATAGCTTCCACAAGAACACTGTCCATCCCTAAAAGTATGAAAACGGTGTGCATCTCTCAAAATAATCTCCCTTCCTGTAACTTGAGAGATCAATCCAATCGCAGTATGACAGTCGTTGCAAACCCGAAGGTTTTTCATGACTCGAATAGGTAAACCACAAGGAATACTAATGATCCCAAAGGCAACTGCAAGTTTCTCACTATGGTGCCTAAGAATAACCTCCCCTTGCTCTTCTTCCACATCATGCATCACTAAACCAGTTGAAGCAAAGTAACCCACTTCCCTAATTCTTGCCATTAACCTCTCTAAGCAGCAATAAATGTCATCAGTTAGATGATGTGATCTATCTCCAGAAACAAAGGAATGAATGACATTCTTGACTGGAATCCATGATCGACCAGGTTTCTTTTCCACCCCTTTCCCCCTCATCATGTTCCGCACATTTGCAGCATCCCCCCACCTACTCGAATTAGCATACATATTCGATAACAAGACATATGACCCGGCATTAAAAGGTTCGAGCTGAGATATTTTCTCAGAAACCCACCTCCCCATCTTGAAGCTATTGTGAATTCTGCAAGCTGATAAGAGTGCAGTCCACACAACAACCTGGTCTGAGATGTGATTTCTAAAAATGAATTCTTCTGCTTCTTTCAGCAGGCCAGCCCTCCCGAGAAGATGAACCATACAAGTGTAGTGTTCCAAACCAGGAGCAACCCCATAATCTTCTGTCATGGATTTGAAATATTGGAGGCCTTGTGATACTAGGCCTGCTTGGCTACAAGCGCAAAGCAACCCCACAAAGCTTATTTCGTTAGGCTTTATGCCCTCTTTGATCATTGTTTCAAACAAGCGAATGGCCTCTAATCCTAGACCATGTTGTGCACAACCTGCAATTATTGAGGTCCATGACACAAGGTTATGATATTTCATAGCATTGAAAATTCCTAGGGCCTCATGTATGGCACCGCACTTTGCGTACATATCAACGGCTGCACTTCCTAATACCACATCATCAAAAAAAGAGGTAGTCTTTGTTATTTGGGCATGGACCATTGCTGCCAAATTTAAGATGCCCATTTCAGCACAGGCCATGGATAAGCTAGTCAAGGTGAACACATTTGATTTAAGCCCTTTATGAAGCATCTTGATAAAAAGTTTCAGAGCGTCTTCGCCCATTCCATTCTGTGCATATCCTGCAACCATGGAGCTCCAAGGGACTTGTAGTGAATTTTCTACTGCAATGACACCTTGGCAATCAGCAAAATTAGTATTTGGGTCCTCTGAGATGAGCACAAACATACGCGTAGCACGCTGCAACTCTCCACATTTGGAGTACATATCAATAAGTGAATTGCCAATAACTGAATCGGAATAAAACCCAAGTCTTATAACTAGAGCATGTGTCTCCTTTCCAAGCTCTAACAGAGCTAGTCTTCCGAAAAGAGCCAGACACAAGCTAAGAGTATATGCATTTGGCCTCAGGCCTACATCACTCATCTCATAGAAAAGCTCCAAACCTAACAGACCAAGCCCTTTTCTCAGGCACCCTGAGATGACTGTGTTCCAACTGAGGATGTCTCCCTTAAAAGGTGATGAATGAAGAAAGTTGGCTGCCGTGGCCATGTCCCCGGCACGCACATAAGCACCAAGGATGATGTTATGGGTTACATGGTCCTTATGTGGCATCATATCATAGGCCCTGCATGCCTCCTCCATGCCACCACATTTGGCATACATGTGGATGATGGAGTTGGCCAAGACAATGTCATGATCATACCTGCATTGAGAAATCAGTCCATGGATCACTTTAGCTGTGGTCAAGTCTCCAAGGCTTGAGCACGCCATTGAGGCACTAGCAAAAGTGAAGCAATTTGGGGTCACCCCATTTCTTAGCATCAAAGAAAGAAGTTGTAAAGCTTCAATGGGTCTACTGTTCTGTGTGTACTCATTAATTAGCAGGGTCCATTGGAAAATATCTGGTTCGATAATTTCACTGAATACTTTGTGGGCATCTCCTAAGCATCTGAATTTTGAATAGACCTTAATGAGACTGGTTTGTACTTGTGTCTCTCGGAGAAAGCCGGACTTTATAGAGAGAGAGTGAGCCATTCTCGATTCGAGGAGAGAGAATTTCGAGTTTGATGAACTGATCAGAACCTTGAAGGTCTTCCTGAGAGCTTCACCCATGACTCACCACCTCCATCTCTATCTAACTCTCTGAACCTTGTATATTCACTTATTTAACTCGTCCATTCCAAACGCTTTTGGGTTTTCCTAAATTTTGTCTGAGCAATCCCTTTTTTCTGAAAAGTTGGGGAAACCCATTTTCATTAAGCCACCGTGAGATTTCTGTTCACCATTTTGTAGGAGTTTAAGCTATGAGAGACACATTAAGCCGAAGCACTCATTCATTCCTACACTCCTCAAACTAAAAACCATCGATGAAATATTTTCTCTGAAAAAGCTTCTATTCATCCCTATGCTCTTCAAATGCAAAACCATTTTTAGGAAAATATACCATTTTCAGGAAAATATGGCACGCTTTTGGCTTATAAGGATTAGAATTGATGGACGGAAGATAGCGAAAAGAATCGGCTGACCTCTAAACAGGGGTGCAGCTTGTATAAGGCGTGAATCTTACCTTCAGATCGAGCCGAAATATGCCGTTTTAATGTCGGAAATTATCCCCAAAAATCTACTGGAATTTTACCTACGGACGGGTTAAATTTATGAAACTACCCCAGTTCTTTTTCTTTGCTTTTCTTTCCTTTGGTTTTTTAATTTTCTATTTTTGCCCTAGATTCGATGTGGAAATGGACCATATCTTTAATAAATATTTTATTTCTAGGGGGTATTTTCTATTTTTAAGTTTCCATAGTTTCCGGGGCAGTCCAATCCCCCGAATATATAGGGTGACAATGGGTTGGTTATGGGTCAAGTCCGGCTGAACCCGGATCCAGACCCAAATGTATTCGGGTTTAGGTTTTGGACTCGGACCTGACCCTTCAGGTCAAAAAGTTGGACCCATATCCGTACCCGTCGGGTCTCGGGTCTATCCCGAGTCTGATCGGGTCCATTGCCACCCTTACTATGAGCTGCTTTTTTGTAGCTTACAATAGTGAGCAATAGAGAACTGATTTTTTAGGGGTGGGCTATGAGAGAGAGACATTTGAGATCCAGAGAGAAAGAGATATGTCTTTAAGAAACTGAGAGAGGGAGAATTGCAGAGAGGGAGGATGGCGATGGGGTTTGGTCGTTTGGGGTACCAGGGGAAGACGAAAAGTATTGAAATGATTTTAGGATTGGAGCTTTGGCTTTTAGGTAAACTAAAAATTCGAGTCTTCATACCTGTCGGGTTGGGTATAGCTGAAACCGTACCAAAACCCGAGACTATCTGGGTATCCTTTATTGAACCCAGACCCTACCCACAGGTCCAAAACTTGGACCTACACCCGGACCCGTGTCGGGTATACACAGCAGGTATGGGTCGGGTCCGAGTCCATTGCCACCTCTACGAATATCGGACTGGCCTATTTTGAGGATTGTCTCGTACTAGAAAAAATAGGCTACCTATCATTTCATATCATGGATTTGAACGGGGCAAAAAACTTCTAAATTAAAAAATAAATAAATTAAACAGTCTAATGTTATTAGATAAATTATTAAATAGATTCCCTATAGTTCCCTTTATTTTGAACTTACATTTCTTTCTCATTTAATACATCCCCTCCTCTTTCTACCCCCTTCACGGATCTATTACATCTGTGACACTCCTTAAACAAACTCTCACTCCTCTTCCTCTCATCAGCAGCCATCACCCCTCTCCCACTCTGTCCTAGTAGCCATCGCCCCTCTCCCTTTCCATCCCAGTGCCATCACCCCTATTTTTACATCTGAAGGCTTTTACGAATGTTTCAGATTGCACCATAGTTTTATTAGAGTCGTGGTGACCATCCCGAAGTGCTATGTCCGTGATGGTTATAGGCTTCCTAGAGCACCAAGAAGCCTGGTCGAAGGGTTTTAGGAACCCTTCAAACTGCCACGGCTCTAATATAGTTGTGGCAACCATTACAAACATAGCAGGTCCATGATGGTTTAAAAGCCTTCTAGTGCATCAGGAAGCCTGAGCCACCACAGCTCTATGGGGATCGTCACAGACCTGCTATGTCTATGATGGTTTATAGGCTTCTTAATATATCAGGAAGCCTGGCCTAAGAGTTCTAGAAACCCTTTGAGCCGTTACAACTCTAATAAAATTGTAACAGGGTAAAAACATCTTTTTTAAAAAAAAAACTAGAAAAAGATAGTAAATAGTAAATAGTAAATAGTGAGTTTGCATGTGAAAACAAATGCACTAGGAATGTTTCCCCACCTCAACAGGTGTGGTTTTATTTTACACGTGAACCAAACGTACCCTAATGGAAGTGTAGTGTCTGTGAAATATATTACTAGTGTAATATAGTACTGCGTTTGGATACCTGGAAATATATTGTTTATGAAATATATAACTGGCGTAATACATTTCTGCCTAATTTATTACCTGCAAATACAGTATTACTGTTTGGGTAGTATTTAGATGCAACCTGAGAAATACATTGCTACTGTTTGGCTATGTCTGAAAGAAATACGGAAAATACATTACCAATATTTTACCAGCACTTTCCTATAAACTATCATTTCTTTCTTTTTTTGTTGCAAAATTCCATTGAATTGCAGAACTAAAGTTATCATCACATTATTCCAAAATGATTTTCTAATAATAACATCATCATCATTCCAAAAAGATTTTCTATAATAACTTGTACCATTCTAAAGTCATGATGACACCATTTCCTACTTATTTTGCATGCCTTTGACACTTACATGGATTCACATGTCTTCTAACATGATTAAACTTTGATTTCAACATGATAAGTCATTGGAATAATATGAATGGAATAATATGATTTTATTGTGATAAGCCTTATTTTTATTTATTTTTTTATAGAAATCTTTCAAATGTCTCTCTATTTAATTTAAACTAAATAATAAATTTATGATACCAAATTCAAAATCTTTATAGTGCAGGTTACAAAATAGGAATAAGTTTGATTAGTAAACTAGAAAGTTTGGTAACTGTAGTCAAAACTTTTGAGGCATTGGAGGAGACTAAAGATATATCTTATTTCAATTGAGCTTTTACTAATATCTTATAATGATTATGTTGTGTGAAATTTTTTATTATGATGGTGTAGAGCTTACTAGGACTCCTGCTTCTCTCTCTTCAGTTTAGAAGCAGCAACTCACGTACTCCTCTCTAGTTAGATTAGCCGCTGACAGGAAAACGTCCAAATAAAGGGGCTTAAAGAGAGAGGAAGCACCTTATGCAAACCAATTACTAGGGTTGAAAGAGAGAGGGAACACCTTATGCAAACCAATTACTAGGGTTGAAGAGAGAGGTGACGGGTTTAGAGAGGGAGGGAGCACATATACAAACCAGTTATTATGACTCAAGTATAAGCGTCGCTTTGGTAAATTCTTTAGACCAATTTGAGAGAGAGAAAATGGCTGCTTAGCATTTATTTTAAGCGGGAATAGGGCAAAAGAGGTGCCTGAAACATTTCCTAGAGATTACGCGTCATGCTCATAATAGATTTTTAACCCTTTCCAATGCCTAATGGTTTCATGATTTTTTGAGAAATGTTGGGTAATCTCCTTCTATTTCCTTACTATTAAAGTGTACCCAAACAATTATTTTTTTTGTAATCTATTGTCATGTAATAGATTTTCAGGTACCCAAACGGCCCCTAAAGGAAAAAGTTAATGTTTACTTGAGTTTTAATGAATATAGAAACAAGATGCATTTAAAAAATCTAGGTTGTTTTGAGGTTGAAAGTCCTCCAATTGACTATTTCGACATCGAGATATACAGATATGAAAAGGAAAAATAGGTCAAGAAAATAGTGCCCTTGTGATGCGTTATGTGGACCATCCATTTGCAAGATTATGAAGTATTTATAAATCTATTCAACTTTTACCATTTTTCTTTGTTTTTTATGTTTTTTTTTTAGATTTTCCGGTGTTACCCTAGTTCTATGTTGAACGATATATTTTATTTTATTTTTCTTTTGTAGTTCCTTGGGCAATCTGATGCGCCAAATATTAGAGCGGCCCATTAGGCAGCTTCGATTTTAAGAACATTTGACTGCCCTATCGATCGAGGGCGTGATGTTTGAAATATCAAACAATTTTAAATTAAAAAAATTGAGCAACCTACCCTATATTTTACTACGGGGAAGCTTTCTATGTGACGCTACTCATATATATAGTATATGGAACCCCTAGTCTCAGCCGTTAGATCTGAGTAGATGGTTGAGATGACTTGAGTCTAATTGTTAGATCTTGATCGGACAGCTCATAGTTTTTTATTTGTTATTTTTATTCTATAAATAGTTTTGAAGAAAAACTTTGAGATATGCGGACTCACAAGATATAATTAATAAAAAAACATTTCTGATGATGAAAAAATACGAAAATACTTATGAAAATTGTAGGGGCATTTTGATCATTTATTTTTATAGAATTTGTTTTTTTCAGTTTTTCCCTAATTTTATGATGAGGCTCCCAAATTTCTTCAAAAACTATTTGTTGAAAAAACCTGAAAAATAGAACAGTGATATGACATTGTGGTATGAACAATCCTAACTGTTTGATTAAAGATCAAACACCTAAAAAGTGAGGACACATATCACTTATAAGTTGTTGGGTCACATAGAAATATTTCCCTTTAACCACTACTACAATGTACAAAGAGCTCAAAACACACTGATTGGTCAACCTCAATGACGACTGTCATCATTTATTAATCTTTTGAAAAAATTAAAATAAGGTATGGTTTGTATCAAACTAAGACCCAAAATAATCAAAGTAAGATGCACTTTCAACATTGAAAGACATTGTTTTAGTACGGGAAATCTTGGTAACGTCTTTTTAAATTTATTTTATCGCTAATTATAAAATTTTAAACTTCAATGTTATAGTAGATCTAGCAAATCTAAGAATACTTGAAAATCGTGAAAATTGGTAGTCCAGAAAATGCATTACAAAATATACTATTTCTAAGACTTGAAATCCATTTTTTTCTCATGTCCATGCATCTTGAGGTAGGGATGATCCATCTGAAAATTTTTTAGCATCAAAACAACCTCTAGTGAATTGTTGAGTTGTGTCTCGATTTGATTGTTTATGGCCTCACCCTTATATAAGCTTTTTCTTTTAAAATATGGGTCGCCCTACCTATCGAAAGAGAGCATCTATTGTCATTATAAAGGTGTTCAAGATTTTCAGGGGTTCTTTATCTACGAGGCGTTCAATGTAAATTACATGAAAAATTATCAAATCCTGCGTAGTTCCCTTATTTTCGACCTTTTCTTTCTCATTTAATACATCCCTACCTAATGATTTTTACATAAAAGCACTTTTACCCCCACCACGGAAGTTTTCTTTCTCATTTAATACATCCCTACCCATTTTCTAATGATTTTTGCATAAAAGCACTTTTACCCCCACCACGGATATATTACATCTGTAATGCTCTTTAAACAACCTCGCCCCTCTTCCTCTCATCAGCAACCATCACCCCTCTCCATCCTAGCTGCCATTGCCCCTCTCCCTCTCCACCCCAATGCCATCACCTCTATTTTTACATATGATGGCTTTTAGGAATGTTTCAGATTGCATCTTAG